GTGAGAGGCAGAAGGAACACACAAAACATTACGCAAAGGTAAAGAGGATTGAGGGGTAGATAGGGTGGAGTGTCCCACATGTGTGATTTGCAAACCTGTTCCATCACCAATATGGAGTTCATCAGGACCATTGTATTCAGAATGCAATGCCAAGTTAGCCAAGTCAGTGGTCACATGGTTGTTGGCACCAGAATCCAATAGGCAGTCCTCAGAAAAAGCAGCAGAGGAGGAGGCCAAATTTGCCATGGGCCCAAGAGCTTGCACACGGTAGCTGGGGCAATTTCGAGCAAAGTGGCCTGCACGACCACACAGCTGGCAACCAGAAGGAGGGGGCCGAGTGGTGGGTTTGGGTCCAAAATTGCGACGCCGATTTTGATTGCCACGATTGGAAGAGTTCTGCCCATTCCGATTGCCACGGAATCCTTGTGGAGGGTGGCGGCCAAGAGAAGAATGAGAGGTTTCTGCACTCAATGAAGAAGAGGAATCAATATTGGAGTGAAAGGAAGCAGCAGCATAATGCGCTGTCACCGGTGTGATCTCAGGACAGGCTTCTTCTCGTTTGAGACTTTCTTCATGAGCAACCAATCTGTCATGCAAGTCATCAAAGGAAAGAGAGGAGTCCCGTGCTCGGAGAGAAGCTGCAATCTCCCGAAACTCAAGGCCAAGGCCATTGAGAATATAAACTGTAAGATCATCATCGTTGAGTGGACGATCAATGGTTCCCAATTCATCAACAACAGTCTTGAGATTTCTTAAATAATCTGCAACAGACCGGCCATCACGTCTCATGTTTTGGAGACGTTCCTTTAAAGTGATCACCCGACTTCGAGAGCGATTAGCATAGAGCCTCGCTAATGTTTCCCATGCCTGTTGTGCTGTGGCAGCAGCTGCAATATAAGGGGTAATGTTCTCCGAGACGGAGGTGATAAGAGCATGTCGCAAGAGTTGATCTTGACGAGCCCATAAGCTGTACTCTAGTGCGGTTGCAACTGGATAGGGGTTCCTGCCATCAAGGTAGCCATCGAGTTCATAACCTGCAAGCAAAGAAGTAAATTGAGCCCTCCAAGACATATAGTTGGTGGGCATTAGCTTTACAGGGAATGCAGCGGAATTGAAAGATAATGGATTTTTGGTGAGTCCAAGATTGAGAACAGTTGCAGCAGAGTTTGGGGAGGTCTTGGATGTAGCAGAGTTTGGGGATTCATCGGGAGTGGCCATGATCGAGACTCGTAAGAGCAGTAGATGCTCTGATACCACTGTGAGGTTATAGATTGAAGCAGACAAAGCTATATTGTTATTGCTGTCTTATGAAGAATATATATACAGAGGCATCAACGCAGAATCCTAACTGGTATGGAAACTAAATATATGATACACGAAATCCTAGCTGGTATGGAAACTAAATATGTGATACAGTATAATAAATATATAGATTACAGATTGAATGAATCCTAAAATCATGGTCTGATCACGTGGTAACAGCTGGAGATGCAGTTGCCTTAACAATTTGCAACATAATGACAAGTACAACAGGGCTTTCTTTTGTAAAAGAAAAATATATCAATATAAATAAATACTAACAACTTCCCCAAATCTATAATTACTCAAATAGACAGACAGACAGTTCTTCGAAAAGTAGGATAACATCAAGATTTGACATCTAAAAATAGGATCTTAAACATCCTTTAAGAGAAGATATGCGGCAGTAAAGAGAAAACATACTTCCTGTATCTCCATTTTAATTATCCCCTCCTATCCTTGTAAGAGGCTAGTTGGTATAATATAAATGCCATGTTAACCAACTCACACTTCCAGAAGGTTTTGAAGAGTATCTTATCATCCACAAACTTGTGAACTTATCAAGTTACCAACAATTACTGTTTTCTTTTTAGAAACTTCCTGCAAGACTAGAAAGAGGAGGTTATATAGATATGAAAAGAGTTACCTAAAAATATTAACGAAGTAAATATCGCATGGTTATATAGCACAAGATACAAAAATCAGCTTTACCTTCAATTATAATAATATCTCTAATGCCCCCAAATTCTATTACAAGAAAAATGAAATTCAGTTAACAAAGGGCTACATTACATGAATGCACATTAAGCTAGATAAACCAGAAAATTCAGAATCATGAAACATAAAATGGCATGTCAAAAAGTTTGATTCCCCTTTCAGATAAAACCAAAACGGATTCACATAAAAATTGGAAAAAACCTGAAAATGATATGCTATTACACTAACGCATTTTTGAGCCCTCATTAGCCACTCAAGTAAGAAAATGGACTAATTCCCAGAATACCAGGTTTTGTCTTAGGGAATTCAGATCAAATCTATGTATATTCGACCTCATTTTTAGAATTCAAAATCCTAGACCCCAAGATTAAGCCAATTAAAGATGATCATTTTTAAACATTTTACCATAAGCCAAAACATAAAACATGCATTGCATTTAAGGCAAAAACAAACCTGAGCCACCATGCAAGTACGCAACAAGAAGTAGTGTACACTGAAAAACAAGAAAAGAGAAACTTTAAAAGACAACCACAAAAAGGGAAAAAAATATTACAATCTCGGAAAATTAATATCCAAAAGAAAAAGCATTAAGTACCAGGACAATGAGAACAATGGAGAGGAAGAGAGGAGAGCGCGTCTTGGAATGCGCAAAGAGATGAGCATCTCCTCTGCCATCTCCATACCGTCGAGACGGATTACCGGGCCTCCTCGACATGCGTACAAATTTACTATCCGATGATGCCACCTACAAATTCTCTACTCCTAGTTCAAACGAACAAAAGAAACAGTCAGATAACTATCTGCGCAATCTACTAGCATCATGAAGCAGCGAATCCGGAAGTTGTTTCAAAATAATGAGAGGTCAAAGCATAATTTTTTTTCTCTCTCCTAGGGTGATAACTGATAACTGTCTAGAGAGAGAAAAAGTGAAACTGTAACAACCAGTCCTCCGACGGTACTTTCCCACCGGAGTTCATCCGTAATTCCCAGCCCCTGGATCACGTCGAGCTCCGTTCTTCCTTCTGTGCTTCACCCAGTGCAGCCGCCGGCTACTATCTCATCCTTGTCGCCGATTGTATAGCTTCGTGCAAAGCTTACTGCTGAAGTTCAAGAAATCACCGGTGCCTCAAAGCCCCACATTTCTGCAACGGCTTCCACTATGCCTATCTCCTCTTCGGCCAAAGTCCGAGTAGTCTCGCCTACACCTGCTAGTCCTCCGACAACATCAATTTCTTGGGCCCAAGCTGTTGAAAATGATTCTAAGAAAGGTACCCTTTCTTTCCATCCCCCTGAGATGCGTGATGGTAAACTCCTGAATAAACCTCCAAAATCTGTTCAAGAAGAGGGTGTTAAATCTTGGGAAGATTGTTTGGTAGGATCTTTCTTGGGAGGTTCTTCGCCCAGTTATGGTGATATAGTATACGTAGTGAACAAAGTTTGGGGCCGTAAAGAGAAAATCCTAGTTACTGGAGTGGGGAACAATACTTACCTATTCAAAGTGCCTGACATGTGTGAGATATGGGCTGAAACTAGGAATTTGATTCTTCGATCTAAGGTTCCCAGGCATGTAAATCACAAGAGTCTGCATCTCCAACAATGGAAACCAAATATTGAACTTACCAAGGTGAAACCTTCTAAATTGCCTATCTGAGTAAAAGTCTGGAATGTGCCTATGTCACTATATATATACCCCTCAAGGATTGGGCTACATTGCTAGTGCAATTTGGGTTCCTGTTTCTCTTGATAAAACTGCTCTACAGAGCAGCTTGCACAATTAAAGTTTGCACAAGTTTTTGTTGAGGTTGATCTCGACAAAGCTCATGTCCTCCCCGAGTCTGCTTCTGTTGATTTAGATGATGAATCTGTAGAGGTTTTATTTGAATATCCATTGTTGAAGTCAAACTAGTCAGGATAATTTTCCTATTTAATGATACATTATTTGATAATGACTGCCTAATTTATTCTTATTATTAACTTACAAATTGCAATTACAAAACCATGAATTCTATAAATAGAACATGGCTATTTGCTTAAAGAGAGAGTTCCTCCGCATTCTCTTATTTTCGTGACATCTTCTAAATATTTTTGGATAAAAAAGAATGTTTTGAATAAAGTGATTCTATGGGTAATGCAAATCCACAAAGTATTATTATAAAGCTGTAACATTCTTGAGAGCGATATGCTAAATATATTTCTACTGCACCAGTTGATTTACTTTCTGCAAAAGCATGAATCACTTTAAAATAATGAATCACTTTAACATAAGTAAGTTTTTCATGCATATTTCAATGATATTTTCTTATCGATATTTTTTTTATAAATTCATTAATTATTATTTTATTTAATCTTGTAACCGAGGCACAACAATGACATAATGTGGGGATGAAGAAAAATGTTCGAGGAACAACATCCATGGCTACATGTTCGTGTTACATATGTAAGAAAGAGGGGCATCCTAGCAAAGATTGTACAATGAAGTTGCATAAGCCAATACATAAGAAAGAGTGGCAAGTTGTAACAAGGAAAGGGAAAGCAAGATGATGATGTGCAATTCTAAACTATGCAAACCCTTCCATCACTAGAGCCTTCAGAAATTCAGGATATTCCAATTATCCACTCTACACTAGTACTTGTGCTCTTGTTACTATTTCCCAAAGTAAGGTAGTCCAATCTGTGAATTCCTTTGCTGTCCTGGACACCAATAGAAACCATGAACCAAAAGTTGCTTCTTAGGTTGAACCAAGGAAGTCCAAAGTTGCATCTCAAGGTGTTGCCGCTGCCACAAAAGCATTATTACCAAAACGAAGACAGTCGAGAAAAAGTGCAAATGCCTCAAGTGAAGTCTCTTCTTCCCAATCCAAATGAAGATATTTTGAAATGTGAGAGACATTAATATGCCTAGTAAACAAAAAGATTTTAAAGGATACTTATCTCAGTACAATACCGACATAGTTTGTCTCTTAGAAACTCATGTTCAACAATCTAAATTCTTGGAGATTTCTACTTTTCTATTACCTTCTTTGATTGCAATTCATAACTACGAGCATGCTAGACTTGGTCGCATATGGATACTTTACAAGCATCACATCCAAATTCTTGTTTCTTTCAAAAGCTCCCAAATTATTCATTTCCATGTTTTTAATTTTCTACTAGCCAACACTTGTTTCTCAATGCCTTTTATGTAGATCCTTACTCAAACACAACCAAGCAACAATTGTGGAATTAACTAGTGCTCCCTAGCCATGCCCTCCCCAAGGTACCTTGGCTAGTTGGAGGGGCTTCAATGATATCAGACGTTCCTCAGAAAGATCAGATGGAGCTGAGATATTAAAAGAGTCCATGCTTTTTCATGGGAAACTTACCACAGCTGAATTGCATGATTTACCTTCCTCTAGTCCCTCTTTCACTTGGTGCAATAACATATGTTTTGGTCCCATCACTAAAAAGCTTAATAGGCTAATGGTGAATGATATTTGGTTTGATGTTTTTCCAAGTGCTACTACTGAATTTCTACCCTCTGGATGCTCAAATAATTGTGCAGGTTGTGTAAGCATTTTGACTCCCAATGCAAACATTAAAAGGAAGCCATTCAAAATTTTCAATTTTTGGATCAAGAATGAGCAGTTCTTGAGTATAGTTAAGCAGTCATGGGATGATACTAATATAAAAGGATGCTACTAATTTAAAAGGATGCTACATGTTTCAACTCTGTAAAAAGTTAAAGGCTCTGAAATCTGTCCTTTGGATCTCAACTTAGATCATTATGCTGACTTACCAAATAAGATGCAACAAGAGTTGTAGAGGCTACATTTAATGCAAAGCAACCTCTTAACATGTCTGACTAATGAACTGATTCGGGCAGAACATGAACAATCTTAAAAGGTGGTAGCTTTACAATTAGCAACAGAATCCTTTTACAAGCAAAAATCTAGAATAGTGGTTGAAAAAAGGTGATAGTAATACAACTTACATTCACAAGATAGCTACAATTAAAAAAGGAAGGGGTACAATCAAAAAGCTTTCCACGCATGACAACAGGAAACTTACTAAGACATTGACATGGAAGGTGAGGCAGTATAGTTTTATCAAGGACTACTAAGAGCAGTTGATCCAAAATGTTCTAATGCCAGTATAGATTGGCCCAAAAGTCTACTACAATACCAATTGCCTACTACTACAACAAACTCACTTATTATAGAGTAGGAGATTAAGGTTGTAGTCTTTCGAGTCCTAGAAACAAGGCCCCTAGTCCAGATGAGTATGTCGTCGAATTCTACAAGGCTGCTTGGCCTGTTATAAGAGATTTGGTTATCAAAGCTATCCAAGAATTTTCTCTTCTAATAAGCTACTTAAGGAGGTGAACTCAACAATTATTTCTTTGACCCTAAAGGTGCAAATTCCAGTGAAAATGAATGAATTTAGGCCCATTTCATGCTGCAACTTGTTATCCAAATTCATTACAAAAATCTTGGCTAATAGATTGAAGAAATGTCTACGCCTCTTTATTAGCAAAAGCCAATGTGCTTTTGTGGAAGGTAGACTAATGGTGGCAAATGTTCTTTTGGCCCAAGAAATTGTAAAGCACTATCATAAGAACCACTTGAGCTCTAAATGCACCTTGAAAATTGATTTGATGAAAGCATTTGATTCAATCTCATAGGAATTTATTTTTCAAGTTCTACTATCCATGGGGTTCCTTGATCAATTTATAAATTAGCTATGTGCTTGTGTGACCAAGCCTATGTTCTCAATTGTTTTCAATGGCAACTTGTGTGGTTATTTTCCTAGTAAGAAAGGTGACAGATAAGGGGATCCTTTATTACCCTACCTCTTTGTGATTTGTATGGAAATTCTTTCAAGGTTATTAAATAAGGCAACTAAGGAAGGAAAATTTGCCTACAATTCTCAATGTGCAAAGGTACAACTTACTCACCTATGCTTTGTAGATAACTTAATAATTTTGTCTAATGGTAGTTTGACTTCACTTGATGCTATTGATGTTGTTTTAAGACAATTTTATGAAGTTTTTGGGTTGCAAGTTAACTACACCAATTCAAAATTATTTTGCTA